GCCACACCCACTTTCCCCACGTGGTTACTGGCACACACTACAGGCAACATAGCAGTTGTAGCTGAGAAGGAAGCTCATAGAAGAAGACTCCTTGGCAATGAATTTAAATGTCTATCCTCATATAAACACCTACTTCATTTAAACACCCAGCAAACGGGTCTCTATAAGAATAAATGCCTAGGTGCTTCCATGAGAAAATACGGTAATTACACAATATTAATATAATAAACTGATTAATAACTAAACTGCAGGTACTTTTACATTATATAAGTCATACTAATACACTAGTCACTACATCATACACTTACCCAAGAAGTATTCTTCCAATTGATATCTGCCCCATTAGAGAGAGCAGTTTTCATTTGATCTATATCTCCATCTCGAGCAGCATACCACAACTGTTCGTCCTAAAGTATTAACAAGTGAATGAGTGTATTATTAACAGTTATTATAATAGTAATATTAATCACTCCTATGTCTCATTATCAAATAATCTCATTCAAGCACAAAATTCACAGAATATGTAACCAGTGACAATAACCGACTATAAACAACACATAAACAATACATGTATATATAAAAACAACTTTTAATGGAAAAATACACAAACAACTGAGCCATTCATTTACATGTACTTGTATAACATATAAGAGTATTTATTGACGGGGAGAAATTTTGGAGGAATTGCACAAAATGATTGGTTGGCCAATTAAATTTTGGTAACTTCATTAACTCCTAACACGTGGCAGCTAATAATTGACAATAATTTGTGAGTTTCAATTTGGAGTATTCTTGTAATTTAAGGACTTGACAAATTTAATCCCTCACCAATAAATCCTGCAATACAGTACATGTACATGTATATCCTTATAAGGAAAGAGAGTGTCCCTCCCTCTACAAAGAGTGTGTCTGGTGTATTAGTATACATTGAATCATTGAGTATCTATGACTGGACACATAAGTAGGACTAGGACTAGGGTATAGTAGGACGAGGAACACCTAGTGACAATAATACATACATACCCAGTGGAAGAGATACAAACTACTACACTACTAGATGAGGGTCCCATTACTGACATTGTTATGATAACACATTATACTATCTACAATACACTGGACTAATGTTTACTGGTATTCCTAATTTAGTGGATTTCATGCATCATCTAACACAATTTGTAAATAATTAAATTCCAGGAAATTCAATTATGCTTAGTATAAATAATCCTGGCCCAAAAAGGAGGTTTCAATCTTCATAATATACACATGAGCCTATTCAATGTTTAGTGTACTTAGTTCCACCAGAAGTAAGGTTGAAAGATGAATGAGGTAATGTATGGTAATAGACCAGACCCTTGCTTTGTAGAGGGAGGGACTGGCTATGTGAGACTAATAAGGAATGAATCTAATCAAGTGGAAATTTGTACTCATTACAAGTACTTTTATGTAAAGATATTTACTCATTGATATTGTTCTATTAGTATACTCCCACTACTGACTATACATACTGTCAATGAATCAATGAGTACATGTACATGTATCTATGATATAGTGTCATATCTGACACTGGACAGGAGATTGTAGTGCATAGTGGGGAATTTCCTTAGGGTGTTGTTTTATCTAAAATTAAAATTCAGCAGAAAAAATTATCTTGTAATCATTAATTAATGGCTCTAATTCTCAGAAATGAAAATATAAAGCAGTAATATTATTGATATTATACTAAAATTAATGTATCACTCCCAATGGATCATTGATGGTAGCTAGGTATATCTAGTGAATAAATGAATATGGAAAATTTACTGTCTCAAAGCAAAAATAACTCTGAGGCCATAAAGGGGCACCGTTTACGTAAGGTATGAATAATGATTATTTCTATTCTTACCTTACGTAAATGGTGCCCATTGGTTTGTACAGCACATCCTGTCTTAACGTACAGCCTTACCTTACGTTAATTGTGCAGTGTGAATCAGCCTTTAGCTATGCATGGCATAATACAGTACAGTGTATGTACATGTACAGTACAAGACGTGACAGAAACATTATATCTGAAATTTGGGACAATTCCCAAACTAACTACATCAATTGAATCATATACATGTACATGTAGATCTACCCGCACACATTAACCAACAGTACACTATCAGTACTATACATTGTATCAGTACATTACTAACACAATATGTACAATACATTAATTATGTACTTTATTGATAGTATATACTTACTGGAGTCCTACGAGTAGCCATTCCTAACAAAAGAGAGCGAAAGAAAATGAGAAAAGAACTTAAAGAAGAGAATGAGAGGCTTGAGAACGAGTCAGGAAGCTGAAGTCAGCAGGATTAGGGCGTGTCCGACAATAATATTGTAGGTGTGGACTAGATCTACCCACGTGAATACACGTGGGTTGACTGTGCTGCAATTAAGTACTAAAGACTGCATGTGATATCATCCTCTGAAGACTTAACAATAGTACTCAGTGTTTCAGTGTCAGTCTCTGATCCATTGGAATGAATCTACTGTTCAACAATCATTACCTCTCTATTAGGATCCATTTTATACACCTGTCATTTTACATAGAGGCACGTGGGCTAACTGGACATTGCTTGTAGGCATGACTTGGCAACATTCAGACAGTTTACAATGAAGTACGTATTAAATAGTTACTGACAATATAAATTATAATTAAATGAAATGTCTTATGAGTATATAGTGGGTCATTTATCAAATTTGCCAATATTAATGAAGAGAGATCTTTATTTTATCATTTTTATATTTTGTCCTGATACATATAGATGCACTCATATTGTGTAGAAAGTTTGAGTTGATTTTGTTCAAAATGGATTTTTAAGTTGCTTTAATATTGGTTAAGAGTCCCTGTACTAGGATAACCAAATTTCGCCAAATTAATTATAATAGGAGGAAATTTAGCATTTTTATGATGCAAATACATGTACTTCTATTGCATAAAAAGTTTGAGCTGATTTCAACCGAAATGGATTTTTATACATATGTGACCATAATTGACAAATGGTACCTTATGGCGGATAGGAAAATTGGTCTTTCTTACCTCAAAAATCCAACTTCCTGAATGCCATTTATCATGAAATTACTCCAGAGAATGCGAAATGTTACTATGTAACTTTTAGAAACAATGGTTGTCTAACAGAGCACTCACAGGTTGAAATTTTTCAATATAATCATGAAATTAAAAATCTGCCATAAGGTACTTTTTGTCAATTACGGTCACAAATTAAAGTTGCTCTAAAATTGGCTAAAGTCACTGTACTATAGGCCTAATTTTGCCAAAAATTGAAAAGGAGAAAATTTTTCATTTTTATTGCACTTTATGATACTTATACATGTTCTTATGTTGCGTATAACGTTTGAGCTGATTTTCATCAAAATTTGATTTTATTACATTTTCTGATGCATATACATGTACATGTATTTATGTTGTGCAGAAAGTTTGAGTTAATTGATTCTAAACTTTTTAAGTTGATGAAATTACTATCTATTTTAGTTATTGTGTTCCCTCCATTCATTTGGCATGATTTTTGTAGACTATTAGCATGTGTTTCTTTTGATTTTTTTTTCGAAAATTTACTACATTTAAAATGGCTATAAGGCAACAAATAATTGTTTGAATCAACTCTATGTCACACTTTATGTTATTCAATAAAGTATCATTAATCATTTCTTATTATTCATTATAGGTTGTGGACCTGAGAATGAACTCATCATCTCAAGGACTGATCTCTCATTCATATACTGAAGATCTATAGACTGGGTTTAGGAACTAAGGACTGTAACACTATAAGACTGGTTTAATTAATTAAAATCATTGTTGACTTGTACTCTGCATGTATGACTGAAGTGTGTTTCTTATTTAATTGTCATTTTTTATGATTTAATCTCATTTCTGTTTATAAGTCATTGCACCTGCTTCTGCATTAATGGCTCTCGCAATAATTTTAATCAAAATCCATACTAATCAATGATAAAAAGATAACTTTGTGTATTAAACAAAAAAACTAAAATTATTATAAACAATAATGTTAAGTAATTCTTTATAGTCTTCAGTTAATGTACAGCTTCAAAAAGCAAACAATTAACCTATAGCAATGACAACATATTTAACAATACTATACTTAGAATACTTCTCAATGTAGTCTTCAATAGCAGAGAATTGTACTTATCCTCTTAATGTCATTAACCTAACAATGGAATGTAATTCATCATACATAGTTACTGTTAGTATCTATTCTTCTTGTATGTAGTGCTCTTAGCATCACTAGCAGTAGTAGCCACTAGTGATCCCAGGCAGTGTCATTTGGAGGTGGCACTACATTGCTGCCCACACTAGAACAGAGAACAATATAATTATATTGACACATACCTAATGTACTTGAACCTTTAACAGGAACTTGCTATAACCTTAGGATAGAGAAGGTTAATACATGACACATACTGTAAGATATGTCCATTTTTAAATATCTGAACGTGTGAGTTTGGAGAGGGAAATTTTGGTGAAATTGGCATTTTTGATAATAGCCATTCACCAAAATAAAACCCACTATTAGGAACCATTATGTACACATGTACATGCTCAAGGGGACATGGACACAAATTAAAACACACCAAATTTAGCAGTTCAACAAATGCCACAACTTTAAATTACCAGAAGTATGCTAGTTTGGATAATTTTAATTGCATTAGGTAACTATTTAAAAATGATTTATGAAGCAGATACACATGAAATGTCCATTATGTACATGTACATGTATTTACCAGTGAAAGAGTGAGGAGCAGTTAGGACATGTAACCACATCTTCACTAAACCTGAACAACAGATCCCTTGAATGACAAACACCACATCCTATACCATTAGCTGAACATTTCTACATTAAAATATTACAAGATAACACGTTACTAGTCACATGTACATCATCATGTATGACTACTAATAGGAAGGGGCAAGGGGGAATTAGCAGTATAGGCCCCAATTATAGGGGCCCCCTAGCCTCGGTTAGTAGTAAACTCTTGGGGCTTGGGGGCCTAATACAAACTTTAAAATATAACTTTCAATATTGATGATATACATGATATTAAATGTAGACAAAAGTTTCAAAAGATGTACATGTACTTTTTAATTATTATTTTTCTTTCAACAAAGAAAAACAGCATTCATATTTATACAATTTGTAAAGAATAAGTTAATAAATAAATATGTTAAGATAAATGAATATCTTAAGTTAATAAAATATATAATTGTCGTTGATGCCAAGCCCATCCTCAAAGCTCATGCCTCTCCACTTGGTACATTATATCATTATCAGGACCCCATCAGAGTTATTGTCCTAGGGCCTATGCACATACGTATATACAGCCTATTTGCAGCCTGTGTACATATACATGTATATACTGTGTTGTACCTACCGGTGATGTGACTTACATGTAGGAATATTTAATGAAGTACTTAAAAGTTGTGAGAGGAGATTACCCTCTTAAACAGATAGATCAGTCCTTGATACTGAAGGGGTACTCTTTGGTACCCTTGTGAAAAATCCCAGTAAGATCTTATAAGGTTTTTCATGATTTCACATGATTATACAAGAAAACATAAGATAGTAATCTTGTAAAATCTTAACACAGAAATTCTTATTTAAGATTTGATAAGATTTGAACAGTTTTGTCAGATCTTGTGAGATCTATCATAACTATAATTCTTGTAAGAATTTTAAAGATCTTATGAATAAAGGAATATGTCAGAAAATGTAAGATCATGCCTCACTTAAATCTTGTAATATGGAGTTTAATGAACTCATTAAACGGAGTTAATGGGGTGTGGCGAGGGGTACCAGCACAGCAAGCAACAAAGTGAGCACGTGAAAATTCAAGAAGAACAAAGAAAGGGTTCCTTCTCAGTATTAGAAAGAAAAGAGCCTCTCAATGGCCGTAGCACTGACGGACAAACAGATGGACGAGGTAGTGAGACGCCTCACCGAGCAACTAGGGCCTAGGGTAGCGCGCCCGGCCCCTGCTGACAAAGGAGATCCAGAAGGAGGTGAGCAAACGTAGGGGAGAAGGTTTATAAGTGGTTTGTCTGGGGTTAGAGATGGAGAGATGTGAAACAGGGTGTTAGCCAAGGGAAGAGTTTGGTCAAAAAAAAAAAAGAAAGAAAAGCCTGAACTAGCCCAAGAGCAGAGGGCTTTGAGTGGTGAGAGAGCAAGGAAGGAAGGAGGGAGGGCCAGGGCCCAAAAAGAGGGAATAGAAGGAACTGGAATGAAAAAGCAGTGGGGGGGAGACCCATACC